GGCCAAGGCCGTGCAAAAGAACTTCTGCCAGCCCTCGCTGCCACCTCTGAGATGTCCAGACGGAACACTAGCTCATAAGCCGCAGGAGAAAGCCGATTTACTGGCAAAACTCTTTGCGGCTAACTCCCGAATCGATGATTTCAATGCACTGCCACCATTATTACCTCATTGTGGCACAACGATGCCTGATATCAAAATCAGGCAGCGTGAGGTTCGTGCCGAATTGCAATCACTCGACGTCCGGAAAGCTAGTGGACCTGATGGCATCCCAGCAGTAGTATTGAAAAAATGTGCAGCGGAGTTGTCTCCTGTGCTCACGCGTTTGTACCAGTGCTCATATTCTTTGGGGCGTGTGCCGGAGACTTGGAGAAATGCTAACGTGCAACCGGTACCCAAAAAAGGGGATCGCTCAGACCCGGCAAACTACCGGCCAATAGCAGTCACCTCAGTATTATGTAAAGTCCTAGAAAAGGTCCTTAACAACCATCTGACCCGCTACCTAGAGGATCACTCCCTGATTAATGATCGTCAATATGGTTTTAGACCGAAACGATCGACGGGTGATCTTCTAGCGTACTTGACTCATATCTGGGGTGAGGCTATCGACAAGCGGGGCGAGTCGCTGGCTATCAGCCTAGACATTGCCAAGGCATTCGACAGGGTCTGGCACAAAAGCCTTCTCTCCAAGCTTCCGGCATACGGTCTGCCGGCCCAGTTCTGTTCTTGGGTAGCTGACTTCCTGCATGAGCGTAGAATTCGTGTCCTTACGGATGGTAGCAGTTCGCGGTTCATGTCAGTGAATGCCGGCGTTCCCCAGGGCTCCGTCCTATTCCCCACTCTCTTTCTGCTGCATATCAATGACCTAATTCCTCTTGGGAATATTCATTGCTATGCAGACGACAGTACAGTGCATGCGGGGTATCTCGGACAAGCAGCGGCTGGGCAGGCGGTAACCAAGGAGAAACGGGAGAATCTTGTCATTGAACTCAATCAGGCTTTGGACCACATTTCTGAATGGGGTACCAAGAACTTGGTTGAGTTCAATGCTAAGAAAATCTAGGTCTGCGCTTTCACGGCAAAAACGTCGCCATTCCTTTTATGTCCTTCTCTTCAGGTCACAACACTGGAGCTAGAGAGCAGTATCACCATGCTCGGTATGGAGATTCGCTGTGACTTAAATCCAAAAAATTACATCGAAAGTGTGATAAAAACAGCCTCACGCAAACTCGGAGTCCTGAACAAGGTGCGGCGTTTTTTCACGCCCGAGCAACTATGCTTGTTGTATAAGACGCAGGTTCGGTCTTGCGTGGAATATTGCTCGCACCTCTGGGATGGCTCCGCCAAGTACTTGCTCGATGCTTTGGATAGGTTACAGCGGCGCGCAATACGCATCATAGGTGATGAGGAGGTGTCTAAACACCTCGAGCCTCTTCAATTACGCCGTGACGTGGCGTCACTAAGCGCGTTCTATCGTCTGTACCACGGCGAGTGTTCTGAGGAGTTATTCTCTCTTATTCCACCTTCCCCTTTCCTTCAGAGGACCACGCGCGCTGGCTTACGTTGTCACCGTCTAACTGTGGCTACAATTCCAACGCGTACAAAGAAATTTGGTGACTCATTTCTTTGTCGTACTATCCGTAAATGGAATGCTCTGCCCGCTCACGTGTTCCCTCCCTCTTACAACCTGGGATCCTTTAAAAGAGGCGTGAAGAAGCAACATGCAGGCCGGCAGGGTGAGGATGGCTGGTGTGGCAGGTAGAACTGCTGTATCAGCTATCTTCGCGTCTGGACTTCACCTCCACTTAACATCAGGTGGGGTGGAGTCATTTGTCGGACCTATCTATAAAAAAAAAAAAAAAAAAACAGGTAAAAACCAGTGTGAATGTAAAGGATAGGAATATGGGCCTTGTAGACACCACAGTATTCTTAGGGATTACTTTAGATTCGAAGCTTCAATGGGGCCCACATATTGATAAATTGTCAAATAGACTTAGCTCTGCAGCATATGCCGTAATGAAGATAGTTAACGGATGTAGATACGGCCAGATTAGTGTACTTTAGTTATTTCCATAGTGTAATGTTGTACGGAATTTTATTGTGGGGAAACGCCGCCGACATTCAAACTATTTTTGTGCTGCAGAAGAGAGCTATTCGATCAATTTATAATCTTAAAGTTAAGGATTCTTTAAGAGATAGGTTTAAAGAATTTGGTATAATGACGGTCGCATCACAATACATTTACGAAAATTTATTACTTGCAAGAAAAAATATTAATTTGTTTCTTAAAAACAGTGATGTTCACACACTTAATACAAGAAACAAAAATAAACTAACTTTACCTGCTACTAGGCTTCACAAAATCAATAATTCATTTAAAGGTCTTTGTGTTCGCTTATACAATAAAGTCCCAAGCAATATCCAACAGTTAAGCATAAATAAATTCAAAGATAGTATAAAAAAAGCTTATTACAAAGTATCTGATTATATTACAGACAAAAATGCTTGGGTTTGAACTGTTTCAATCATTCCAACAGGTTTTCTATATTAAGTAAATCATGATTGTATTGACGTTGTAACAACATAATGATTTGTAAATGTTGTTACATTAAGCTTTTAATGTTGTGGAGTTTCTTTCGCTCGTTTTTCTCCGCAGCTAAAAAATATGTCCAATAACGAGTGGTAGGGGAAAAAAATGTTTGGACGATTCAAAAGTGTTGTACTATACATCCAATTTGAATAAAGATATATTGATTTCTGATTTCCTTCGATTCGGTGGAAACTTTTACTGTTTGATATTTTTACGCGAACGGTAAATCCAACTGTTTATTTACATCAGAAACCCTCGATTTGCCAATGATATAGTCATTATGGCAGACATTTGGAGCATCTCAAGTTTTAATTCAACACAATGCTCAATGACCTTAGCAGTATCTTTCAACAGATGGGCCCTTAAAAAGATCAAGAGTAAGACGAACATTATGATGTATAAATTAATATTAAGGTCAAGTTCCGACTCCACACAAGAATCGTTGAGAATTCTGCATTCGAAAGTATCAACAAATAAATATACTTAGAACAAAAAGTCCAGCTTTGAAAACGAGCAAAACCGCCGACTTAAACTTAGCTGTCGGTGTCAGTAAAATAAAATTACTAGGTATGTGAATGAAGCCAAATGACCAAGCCACATACTTTGACTAATGTGTAGAGTTTGTGAAGTTAGGCCTTGTAGAGTTACTGAGTTAAGGGGTGTGAAGGGGTGGGAAGCTTGACTCTACATGAGATCTGCTAACTTTTTGACAGTGCGAGTCATATGGTCTCTTCTTGGAAACATTTTACATGAAAATGTTTTTGGTGGGACTTGATGTTTTATAAAACACAAATAAAAGGTTATGTCCGTACTAAGTTGTTAAAAACATATTCTTTTTAATTTTTTGTTCCAATAGAAATTCCGTACCGTCATCACCTCGTCTCGCTCGTAAGCTGTCCGCGCGCGGGCAGCGGGTGGACACCGGGGTGACCACCCGCGCTCTGTCTCCCTCGTTCGTATGGAGGGCGGCGCGGCGCGGCGTTAACACGCTCATGGCACACCCGACTTAAGCTGGTTGGTTGACAGCGCGGCCACATATTACTTATAAGTCGCGGAACGCAACTGCTAGTCTTGTGCCGCGACTTATAAGTAATCTGACCATTATTGCGCAGAAGTAAAAATTAAGATGTCTTGGGGGGAAACGAGGTGCGCGGGTAGTTTTGTTCAGCGCTAGAGTTACGTGCCGTGAAGCATAATAGTTACTACGTAAGCGCGGCGTCCACAAGAGCACGGCGCACGCCGAGGCGGCCGGGTGCCGGGTGGGTCAGGTGCGCAGTGACCTTAAACGTGTTCTTAAATAGGTTCCTTGTCTAGGTCGTACGCACGTAACCGTCAATGTTATGACGTGTTTTAGGGCTAGTTGTTTACGATCGTATATTTGATTAGAACCACATGTTCCAACCGAAGACTGCACCGCTTCGCAGCCATGAGATCAAAACGCGTCAACGAGTTAACGAAACAAAATTTTGGCTCACTGTCAATTTGTTTGAACTGGAAAAGCTGTTTATTTTTAGTAGCTGAAAATTAGCTTTTCTATAAATATTCATTACTTACATTTTTATGAGTATAGTAGACGCTTTCATAGTATTATTATTTTCTTATGCTTATCCCACACCTGCGTGACGAAGCTCTGGCCCTGCTCACATATTATTATTTTCGTGTATGTGGTTTTGAGCTGATGGTGTTGTTATTTGTGGGGAAACTAGGTACTTACCAAACAAAATATAAAGGACATTGCTCAGCTTCCATACATGTTTGGCCTAAAGACCAATAATCATGAAAAATTGTTTCTTAGATTCGGAATTATATATAAACAAACAAAACAAACAAACGAATATTATTGACGGACACCCCTGAGAACTTTTATAAACCACCACCACCACACTGAACATATTAAAATAATAAAAAATAAATAAGTTATATAGTAAACTAGGGAAATCAAGCCAATTACCGAAATAATGGATTAGATTCAGATATATAGAGCATGTAGATTAACAGATAGTTGCCTGTTTTTAAAGTTAATGTATAAGAGTAACTTTTAAAATCAGGTGTCATTTCCGGCTATAATAAGGTAGGTACTCTGTGACAGAAACTGTGTGATGATTGTGAATGAGCCACAGATTAGAGACAATTTTTACAACTCTCGTTAACCAAATAAAGCTAAGAGATTTAGGTTCTATAGCCATATATTCAGTAGCTTCATTATTTTTGTTTGTCACACCTTATAATTTTATTTATTTATTAATTTATAGTCAGGGAACGTAGGCCCATACATAGATACCTTAAAGTCTAACATATATACAGATTTTAATGTGTTAATGGAGGTGTTTGGCGTAAAATGTATGGCAATAGACTTTATGATGTCGCCTACCATCTATAATAATTGTCTGAGCACATTTGCATCTAGTGAAAATGATAATATAGTTGTGGATATTAATACAGTGTAATAAAAAAAATGATTTATTTTATCGATCTTTACATAATAGATTTGTTTTTATTGTTATATAAACAACTTCGATCAGTCTTTGGCTGAATGTTACTACACCCATAGCCATTAAAAATGATTCCTATGTTTTCCAAACCGGTAAAATTAAAAGTCCTTTTTAAAGTAAATATATTATACAAAGGTGTCCGTTGAAATCTAATGACCTGAGCAATCTCCTTTATGAACCATAGTGACTTCGTCTGCGTTATTTTTTTTTATTTTTTTTTTGAAAATCCCTCAGGAACATATCAGTTTTCTGGGATAAAAAGAACCCAATGTCTTAATCAAGGTTATAAACTATATGTTTGCCAAATTTCATACAAATCCGATCAGCTCGTGATCGAGTAACAAACATCTTTCACTTTTATAATAATAGTAGGAAGTAGGATTTTAAATTTATATTATAATAAAACAATAATATTTTCACACTAATAATAATTATTCCTAATTGAATAATAATGTTCAGTGCTCGAATAACGCATTGGAGTAAAGACTGCTGAAGTACGCCGGCGATTCTCACACTGCCTCGCAGCGAGTGCGGGGTGCAGATCTGAGGCCCAACCACGAGTTTTTGACAGCTCCGTAGGCTGCGTAACGTATCGTATCGTCAAAATTTCTATGAAACTAAGCATAACTAGGACGTAAGAAATAACTAGCTTTTCCATACAAAATTTTAAGAGTACGATACTTTACGGAGCTGTCGAAAACTAGTGCTTGGGCCTCTGCATCTTCTTGCGGAAGTGCACATCTGCATCATCACGCAGATTTCACCGCAAATAGGTACGTACGGAGCTGCGGTTTTTGGCCCAAGACGGGGCAACACTGTGCGGCATTGCGGCATGCCACTCCAATTATTTGATATTTTACAGCACCATGCTTTGTAAATGTTCTAGGTAGGATGTTGAGTCGGCTTTAAATAGGCTGTTGAACGTTGCCAACTCAACAAAGCCGCGGGAAAATCAGCTAAGCCTAAAGTACCTGTGTTACGGAACCTGCGCCAATAAGTGCAAGATGCTATTTAAATAATGCTGCCTATAAGTTTGCTATTTGCACTTTGTGATGGGCAACTACGGAACCCTATATTGCACGTACCCGATACGCACTATAGGCCACTTTTATTTTGTAAATATTCAGCGATATTATCGAGAGTTAATAACCTACACTTTGATTATTTACTTAAATAATAATTAAAGAACCTACATACATATTTTCATAGTACAGAACATGTTTAAATATGTTCTTATTTATTTTAAAGCTATTAAAATAAATAAGAACAATTGGAAATAAGAGACGCAGAGCAAAAAGCATTAGATACTATTTACAAAATAGAAGAATATGTGTTAATAAAAAAACTGGCTTTTCTCGCTTCTCGCTGATAGTCAGCAATGGAAAAAAGCTTAATACAAAGTTAATTAAAAGTAAGTAGCTCACCTTTCCTTATTAATAAGCTGGTGACCCTGCGAAGAGCTTCTCTCGGTGATTTCTGGAAGAACTTGGGGGTCAGGTTGGGGGGCAGCGTGAGGGGCTTGCGGGCTCCCGGCGTCTCCCAAGGCGGTGGGTGCTCCACCGTAGTCTTGGAGGCTGACAGCCTATCCAGGTGCTCGATGGAAGCCGGCCTGTGATTACGCAGGCGGTTAATAGCGGTGTCAATATTTATTAGAAGCTTTACTTACTTCCTAATACGAATAAATAAATTGGTAAGTTTGTCTAGTGATATCGTTTCGTTGGGATGGATTGGGGTTAATCTTGCGTTATAGGCAACATGCATTATTAACTATTTTAGTTCCGTTACTGTATATGTCATTGTATGGATTTTTGGTTATCTGCAAGAAATTATCAATGAATTTTTCGCTTCAGTATCTATATTATTATTACTGATTAGAAGTATCTAGTCCTAAAAGTATATATAATGTTAACATCTATCGAAGTCATAAAATACTCGACTGATAACATACTTAGCAATTGCACCTAACAAAGAGTGTAACAATATGACAAAAAACACGTATCTCTTTGTATTCTACGTTAATAGTTTTAGCTGTGTTTGCGATAACGTTCACATTTTTTTGAAAGAACGCATTACATTTTTTTTGTTGTTGCTATATCTTTTTGTCATTAAGAAGTCTAGTTCAACCATCCAAAGGTTGACTGGTAGAGATCTTTTTGGGTGATTGGACCGCCCATTTTGGTGTATATTAATAAAATAGATAGCATAATAATACGATATTTCTCTTTGTATTTATACCTATATTATATTACATACTTAATCATTTACAGGCAGTACCTACTATAAGGCAGACTTAACAAGCTATAGGACATCAGTTTGCAATTTCAGACATAAGTTGTATTATTAGGCAACGCTCTCCAATTTCATATTTGAAGATCATAGCTCATTTTGATTTCCAAACTGTGTTGCATCTCTAAAATTGAGATTTGTAATGAATCTGGTTAGGGCAAAAAGATTATGATAACTCAACTGAAAATGCAGTAAGACATAAATCATAGAAGGAGGTAAATCAATAAGAGAGAGAGAGGACAAAGTGTACTTATGATAGGAAATTCATATGGGAAAATGTAATAAGTTTAACGAGATAAATACTTAGTCGAGGTAAAATCGAACCCCCTTATTAATAAACGAGAAATAAGCTCAGACTAGTTACGCCGTGTTTTGTTCATGTCACTCAAATGCCATTTGTCATTCAACGAACAGAGACAAAAAATGGATTAACGAATCCAAGTTTATTCTGCGTTTATTAATAAGGGGAAAGGGTTTAATTTTTAATACGAGCAGGATGTCAATTCTACTAAGTTAACGTAATAATCGTGTACCAATGGTGTTTCAATAGTTTTGATTTTTGATGCAGTTATGTTTATTAAATTATAAATGTATAATTACTTCCTGATTTGTTATTTTTACAAGCTTTTATTTACTTTCACCTGTCGGGTGTCTGTAAAGGAATCTTGCAAGTTAAATTTGATACACTTTCCGGTTTCAGATTGAGCTGAAATTTTGCACGCATACGTATATAGCGTGACAATTCAATATTATAATGATAAAGATCTGATGATGGAGCTGGTGGCCATAGGGACACGGTTATAGAACGACTTTACCGCATCGAGTTTAGGCTCTTTTGATTCGTCTTGACGACTACTTTAGTATTCGTAGCCAAAGGATTTGGGTGAATGGAGCGATAGGCCACATCACTGAAATTATATTGCCATATTACAGACGTGCTCAACTATACAGCGATATACTATTGGTTCCACCAAATTCGTATATGGACGTGCCAACGAACCATACAGAGCCACAAAACCCGTTGCGCTAGTACCGAGGGCTGTAAGCAATCTAAGGATATTTTTCCTAGCCTCAACCCCAGACTAACTAGAAAACTATTAAATCTTACATAACAAACATTTCCTAACTAATAAAGTGTAACTAATAAGTGTTAAAGATAGTTCTCTGTGCAGGGGATGTCTGGAAGCAGACAAAACGGCCGCTCATGTGATCCTGGGGGCCAATCGCCTAACGGAAATGCTTTGGAAAACGCTAACGCTTACGATTTTATTTTGTTATTTCTAGCCGCCTGAGGTATTCAAATGCCTCGCGCTCTTTCTTTTTCTTTTGCATTGGTAATAACAATATTAAAAAAAATGAGCGTGAGGTATTCGAAAACCTCAGGCGGATAGAAATAACAATATAAAATCGTAAGCGTTAGCGTTTCCCAAAGCATTTCCGTTAGGCGATTGGCCCCCTGGAATGCATGAGCTTGGTAGAATGCCGAGCCGAGGACGCTCAAAGAAGCCTGTGAGAGCCCAACAGACTACTGAGCTTCTGGAAGGAGCTGGGCTAGCAGCGTGAGCTAGCCCAACACACCCTGCACGCACAATGGACCAAGTACCGCGTCTACGTGCGGAATCGTGGGTCCACCACAAGTACAAGTAAGTAACCATCGGTTCGGATCCATTTAATTCAAAAACATTCAAATAATACGGATTAAATCTGTATAATTTCCTGCTAAATCGAATCATGGCACAACTGAAAAAGAATGCTCCTGATGATGATGTTGTATGGCGCGTTGTCGTCGAAGGTTATTTGTGCACAGTTCACGCGTGGCTCTAAAATAACAAAGAGAACGAAAAGAATGTAGTGCGCTTTTTAATGAAATATATTTAAATAACATATATTTATTAGAACAAAATAGCAATCACAAAAACTCTGCAGGATAATGATAGCGTATTCCTTATATTATAATTATAGTACTATATTATAATTATAGTTAACTAACAAACATATTAAAGGAAAACTGGTTAATTATTATATTAATCGAAGAGAGAAGATATAAAAGTTCCAAACAGAAGAGATAACATTATGTTTTTAAATTAATTTTGTTCAATTCAATCAAATGAAAACAATGTGCGAATTTGTGTTTCGTATTTTGTATTCTGGTAGGTCGGTAATTGGCTATCTGTATAATGTACGTAACTACAAATATGACTTGCTATATAATACCTAGTCCATCCATAAGTTCTGTTACAAACGAAAATGCATTTTTTTAATGATGTAATGTAATTTATTTAGAATTTATACCAACATATACGAGTATATTCAAGTCTCATCAAAAAATCTATTCGAAATGGCCACCTTTAGGTTTTATACAGACCTTTAATCTGTTTGGTCACGAATCTATGGATTTACGCACTGTTTCCAAGGAAATTTTCGCCACTGCTTGCTCCAAAGATTTTTGAAGAGGCTCAATGTCGCCGTGTCGTTTAGAGCAGGCAAAGTTCTCTAAAACTGCCCATAATTTGAAGTCTTTGAAAAAAGGGTTGAGTCTGGGCTAGATGAGGGCCAGTCTTCAGCTCTTATAAAGTCCAGGACGTTGGTTTCAAGCCAGGCTTGGGTAGTTAGCGTCTTGTGACCAGGTGCAGAATCCTGCTGGAAAGTCCACGGTATATTTTTAAAAAGTGTATTACTTAGAGGTTTCACAACATGATCCAAGATTGATAGACTTTGGCTGAAGTTTTCACTCCTTTTTCACAAAAATGTAGCTTTGTGACTCCTTGATAAGAACACGCCCCACCAAACCATCACTGACGTAGGATGATGACCAAATTGTACCTTTTCAACCACTTGAGCTTCTTTAGAACTGCGAGCTTACAGTTTATCATTTTGCTTATTGTAGTATTCTTCAATCGTGAAATTTTTTTCATCGGTAAATAAGATATTTCTGTGCTTTTCACCTGCGTATCGCGACCGTTTTGATCGATACACTCTCTTTAATTGTAAAGTTTGATTTAGGGCATGTCCTGTATATCGACGATAAGCTTCAGGTCTTCATTTATAATACGAGACAGAGTCCTAGCGGGAATCTTCATTTCTCGCGATAAGATTTTTTTGTTTCCTAATGGGGTTTCGACGAATTCTGGCTTTAACGCATTAACAGAATTTGTAGTTCTAACAGCATACGGCCGCCTCGATCATTTCTGGTCTTCGACAGACAAAGTGTTGTTGTATCTGTTGATAGTACGACATACGAACATACGGCTGATACCAAGCTTTGGAAGTGCCTGGAATATGACCGACACAACGGCTCCATACCCACTTTGTGCAAGGCGATCACTGCAATCCTTTTTCTTTAACAACCCATTCCATGTAATTTGATAATGAACACGAAAAAATTGTTGAAAAAGTTGAAAAAAAGAAAAAAAAAGTTGTTACGTAACAGTATTTATGGCCAGCTCTGTATTTAGTACTAATAGGTCAGCATTCAGTCTGAGTGTCACGTCCACACCGGCACTCTCAACATGCACTCGGTAAACTGGGGTCTTCAGAAGTAGTGCCCTGCTCATTTCACCGAATCGGTGAAATGGGTCCCTTCATATCCTCCTTGCAACTCCGTCGAGTCCCGGTGAGGGGAAAGGCGTCAGGCCGATCCGAGACATTAAAGGTCAGTACTCCATTAAGCTTGTATGTAAACGGGCACAGTCCTGTGTTTTGTCGCGGATACCAGCCTCGCGGAGAGTCCCCGAGCTGCAGCAAGTCGGCGCCGGTGCACACTACCGTGGCGCCCATCACGGAACCTCGCCCGTACCCTCCGAAAGTTACGCTGCTTCCTGACAGCTTCTTTAATCATACTATTGACAAATACAGATCTGTGTCATTGCCGTGGATACCAGCCACCTGGAAGGCTCCCGAGCCACAGCAAGTCGGCGCTTGTGCACACTCACGTGGCGCCCATCACGGAGCCTCATTCGTACCCTGCGAAAGTCACGCTGCTTCCTGTGAGCACCTTAAATTGCACTATTTATAGTCGAGTACATACCTGTGTCTTTGTCGCGGATACCAGCCTCGTGGAGGGCCCCCGAGCCGCAGCAAGTCGGCGCCGGTGCACACTCCCGTGGCGCCCATCACGGAGCCTCGCCCGTACCCTCCGAGAGTCACGCTGCTTCCTGTGTCACAACAAAAATTTTGTTTTGAAACGAATACTCGTTTAGACACGTTCAGCATCATGGGTAAGAAGTACTGCTCTCTTGTGACCGTACGTAGGACGGAATCCAACTCGAACCTTCCGAAATCCGGTTGGATACACTGACCAATTATGCTACCGCAGCCCTCATGGTCGTGTCGAATTTTTTCGACTGTTACTTAGGCTGCAAGTCAGCGTCATCTCTTCGCATTGTAGTTTCTTTAGAAATAAATTATATAAATAATAAGCATACTTTTTTATGTAAAAGAGAAAAACAAAAGATTGTTGATTGAAAGCTTGTATAAGTTTCTGAAAATCGAGACTATTTGACAGTATGAAAAATAATGTACCAATTGTTCGTATCTATATTTAATATGAATATTAGCAGCGATTTTACTTTTCTAAAACAACAAATAATGAATAAACTTTTCTATAAAATCAATAGAAATGATTTTTTGCTCCATGGTCACGTGACCGAAAATGCCTGTGATTGGCTAAGACTAAAATGACACACGTCAGACACTAGTAAACTTCCGGAAAAAGGGATATTACGGATATAACATTGTACCGTTTTACGTTTTAATAACATTCCTGTGACGTCGCATACTAGTGATACGCCATTATGACCAGAAACACGTTTTCGCGGCAACTTGAAAAATTTTTTTTTCTAAGCCCAAGCAAACAAAATATACAGCCGTTTATGCCGCAAATTAGTCATAATCGTTATACGATCGCTTTAATCTCAGACACAAGTTTGTCTCTTCATTCCTCTACTTCCATCCGAGGGATGATAATTGACCGACCAGCAATAAATGTTATTGTTAATTACCAACAAATATTTTTTATGCAAAATAAAAAGCGTGGGCGATAGAATTGATCCTTGTGGAACGCCAGCATCAATGGGTTTAGTTTCAACGGAAACGTTGTCGACTACGACACGTATGCTGCGTTCTGACAAAAAACTGGCAATCCATTTGCATAACCCATCAAAGGGTCCATATGATGGAAGCTACGACAGAAGTGTCCTGTGCCAGACCCAATCAAAGACCCTTCACGATGTCAAGGCTGACAGCAAGGGCCTCACTCTCGCTGTCTATGGCCGCTGCCCGTCGTGCCTTAGGTATCAAGGACGTCTGCACGTTATCTCACCTATGGACTGTATGGAGGTCATGGTGTTGTTCCGGGGCGGGCCTGTGGAGTTCCTGGGCGGGGTGCGGGGCAGGTCGCAGCCTCGCGCGAATACCGGCGTCTCTGGTAGGCTTGCGGACGTCTGCAGCGGCCCGCGTACACCACTCGCCGCGATTGCCTCGCGACTTTGTCTTTGCAGCGTGCGTCTCCGTGCGCCACTCGCACCGATATCTGGAAACGAGAAGCACCATGTGATCAACATCGTTCGTGAGGAGCTCGATGGCCCAGGTGGTTAGCGCATTCGGTCTGCGATTTAGAAAATTAAGTTACTTTCGCAATGGTCGACATTGGATGGATGTCAACAAAAAACTTATTCAAACTATGAAATGAAGACTTAAAATGAAAATATTGTTAGGGGAAGTTTTTTAAAGAAAACCAATGCAGTGTTTTTTCAAAGAAAACAATCCCAAACTCTATGCGGTTAAGTCGTTTTGTTATGGAGTTCCTATGGCCACCTTTTAGCTCCATCACCAGATCGGCTCCATGTTATCATTATATTCCATTGTTACGCGATATACGTATGCGTGCAAAATTTCAGCTCAATCAAAAACTGTGAAGTGTGTCTAATTTAAATTACAAGATTCCATTACAGTCAACCGACAGGTAGAAGTAAATAAAAGCTTGTAAAATATCAATAGTGAGTTACTGTGTTCAAGTTATTGTATAACTTAAGAACGTTGCTAAACAATGTGAAGTTAGAGTCAACTAGCAAACCAGTGAACCAAATGTTCACCAAAACCTGATTTCTCGAAAACCGGAAGTGCTACGTTACTCAAATCCGTTTTGTAGTCTTATCAGACTATTCTTAACTTATAACTTAAATATTCTGTTTATCTATCTCTTACGGTTTGGCCGCTGAAACAGCACCACAGACAGACGGACTTGTCTAATAGATAAGAGATATTCAATATAAGTCACTAACAAAGAGTATAAAGAACAGCGGACGAATTGAGAACTCTGCGCTACACCAGATAGTACCGTCTTTAACTCTTAAAGGAAACCACAGATTTTTACAATGCGATAGAGAAAAGAATAGACTACCTTAACAAGGAATCACTTATGACCATACTGATAACATTACGAACTCTTCAATGTATACCTAAATTACACATCCGAAAGTCATTATTTTTTTCATCAACTTGCCTGTTGGTAAGGTTCTTCTGTCTGTTGACCCACTTTTAAAGTTACTACTCCTTCTGTTTTTATTGTAACTGGTTTCCATAGACCTCGTCTTTAGGCTGTTAGTTGTGTCTCGATGTGGTGGTACTGCCGGGGGTTCCGAAGGCCTGGAAGATTATACATAAAACCTGAAGTGTGTTATTTTTTTAAAAGATTAAATAAGTTTTTAAAACTATATTTATAAAATCTTAATTTGAAATAGCAATTGGTATTAAAATACGATCTTTTATTTAAAAAAAAGTTCTGTATCTTATATGTGTGTAGGTGTTTTTGTGTTGGTTAATTTAATCGTCTATACTTCTTCTTTTTTAATAGGTTTCACCGTTCTTGTTTAATAGTAATACCGTGGCATAAATTAGATATTATGTTAAATATTCTTAAATTTGTGAATTTATTTGCACCTAGTTCATTATTTCAGACAGCTACTTTCTACTAAGCTACCTTTCTTCCTAGAAGTAACATTAATACTTAATTCAGTTACATCCATAGTTCCATAATAAAATAACGGAAAATATTACCTTCTTCTAGTATCCATCGTAGGCGTCGCCAGAGTGTCAGATTTCTTTCCATGTCGCTTTTCTGATGGCTGCATGATTTCTGTGTATTCATCTTCAACTTCTTGAACTGGCGATGGTGGAAGTGGAGGGAATTTTGGTGACTCAGGTGTCTGTGGTAAAGGTCCCATCTCGTGGCCCATGTTAGGAGATGGGGGCAGCGGATGATGTCTATATGAATGTTCAACTATTTGAACATTTAGAGGGAAATCCCCGCCACTTGACACTGCGGAGTCCGAAGAAGATGGCTGCCGCATTAGACTAACAGGCACATCTTTTGCACTCGTAGATTTGTGCATACTGTTTGATCTTCGCCCCGACGATGAGCGTTCACGACGTTCTATAGACCTCTGGTTCTGTATTTCATTATGACTCGATGATTTCTGTATATCATGTCGTTTCTGTCTCTCCCTAGAACTATAACGGAAATTGTTATCTAATATATCCTTAGACACTTCATCACAGTATTCATCCTTATGGATATTCCAGTCTTTCGGTATATAAGGGGTAAAATGTTTTTGGTCCCGTCCTTGGCTTAGTATAGCACTAATATTGTTTTCAATTTTGCGAAGTGGAGACGTGTTTCCACTAGAATCCGGTTCGCCACTCTCCTGGTCCTCTTCTTCTTCAACAGTGGTAATAAGTGCTTGTCGACTCGTACTATTGCTTTCACCATCAGCACCCAAACTTGGTAACGAAACTACTCGCACCATGTTTGGAGGCACCATGCTTAGTTCATTTACAGTCTCATTGCACTCTTGTTGTGGCGCTTCTTCTACTTTGCCTTCTTTTATCAATGATTGTATATTATCAAAAGTAGAAGAATACTTTTTAAAATCTGTAAATCTATTTTGAGGAGACAGCTTATTCGGTACAACATTATTCTTCAAAATAGCGTTCTTATCACTAATTACTTTTCTACTTTTAGGACTATGACCAAAATATTCTTGCGTTATGTATCTATCTTGGCCATTATTTAGGTCCAAGCTAAGTCTCGATTTAGGCGATGTAATTTCTTTGCTCAGTCTAGAATTCGGGGTGCAGAGATCTATACTATATCTGGAATTCGGCGTGTTGAGTTCTCGACTTAATCTCGAATTTAAATCTACACTATAGCGAGATTGAGGCAAACTGAGATCCGAACTGGGCCTCGAATTATAGGAACCTACGGACCCTGAACCACTTATTGATATACTAGAGCCATCTATAGATTTATCTGTGTCTAAACTTCTATTTAAACTGTGACTATGACTAAGATGGTTCGCATTGAACTGTTTATTGGAAGTATTTTTGTTGAAACTTGGTAACTGTTTACGACTTTTGCCTTTTCGTATCACGTATGTTCCACAAGCCAAATCTTGTGCTCTTCGTGCTTCAGATTCAGCATCGGAAGTGGGAGAAGCGAGCGGTTCGGATTGTGCGATAGGTGGAGGGGGAGGCCAATAGTCATCACCCCAGTCGTCCTCTACTCTTTGTGGAATTGAACTGGTACTGGAGTTAGATTGGTCACCAGATTTTCTTCTTCGTCTACCAATAACCTGAAATTTTATAAATTGACAAATATATATTGACCCACTCATATACAGAACCATAACCGATGACGAAGGCCTAAGCATATCCGAAAATCCCCGCTAACCGGGACTAAGATGCAAATGGGACTAACGCTTAATGTGCCTTCCAAAGTATGGAGGATATCAAGACGATAAATTTATTGATCAGCCATTCGATGAGTATTATGCCATTTTCAAAGTAACTTAACTATCTGAATTGCAGATTGAACACAATATTCACTGCGCCACCAGTAGAGTTCGATAGCGCAGTCGTTAGTATAATTGAAATAATAATACTTTTAGTTAATGCATTTTATGTTTAAAGTTGGTTAATTATGTACCTTAGTGCTTCCGGGAGTAAGTAGAGGATCATCGCCATCGAGTGACACTTCCCAAGCAATGGAATTACGTTTCGAAGGCGTGGTTGCAATTGGCGGCGGTGGCGGGAAGGATTCCTCTAGCGAGTCGTCAGAAAAGTGTTCCTCCTCGTCCGTTCTCCGTTTACCCTCCATTATATCCTCCGTAGATCCTCTACACACTTCTCTATGCCTCTCCATAGAACCGGCGAGAGTCCGCGGAGGTATTTTAGATTTAGGCGACAGCATCTCCCCGTCTGACCGACTGTCGCGTTTCATACTACCCTTTTTCGTGTTTGATGGCGAGATTTTTTGAATATTGTAAGTCGGAGAGTGCGACTGTTTGTTGTATTGAATGTTTGGTCCTGGGTATATCGTGACTGGGTGTTCATTGTAAGGCTTGTCGTTGAATTCACTCGAGAAGCCCATGAAGGGGAAGACGGGGGGTTTCTCCATGCTGGGTGATATTTTCTGATTCGGAGGGGGCCGTGGTGGTAGCCACGACGGTGGTTCGGGCGGGGGTGGTCTGGCCCCATGTTGTAGGGACGCGAATCTGTATGCTGTCGCTGGTGGTTGTTGTAAACGGAACCCATTCGAATCGTCGTCTTTTTCCCACCCGTAAGGTCGTTGATGCCTTGTTTTTGGCTGAAATGATAAAAAGAAAACAATTTTAAGAGAAGAAGAAGAATGTGTTTTAATTTTTATTTACCTGTACTTTCAGTTTTATTTTTATGTAATATTAATGTATATGGCTCACATGAATTTAAGCGTCCACTATAATGTATGTAAATAATGTGTTTAAAATAAATTTAAATGCATTGCACGTGTTTATAAATTTTTAATCAACACTTATATTTTAAACATGTAGAAATAATGCTTTTTCGAAAAATCATAGAAAATTACTATAAATTCTAGACAATACAGAAATAGCATGGCCATATCTGGTATGTCGACCACTTGCTTAGGGAGAAAATACTGCTTTGTAATAAATGTTAATACTTACCTAAAACTAAACTAGGTCGTATGAAAGTGAAGTGAAAACATCAAAAACTTACGAAAGTGGTTTGCGTTGCAGTTGTAATCCCGTTAACGCTTATAATAGAATCAAGCTTTTCTTCAGCCGTCCGTAGTTCGAATGATGGTATTCGCTTAGCAGAATTCGCCGGAGATACTCTGAAATCATAAAAAGAAAAAGAAATATTAAAATGCTAATAATAAATGTTTCATAATAACAACCATACGACCGCGCACTGATGTGCATAGGCCTCAACCAAGGACATCTACATCGACTGCCGATGTTCTGCGCTATTCGCATCGCATCCAATGACTTTTCGGGACCATCTCAACAACTCTGACGATGGACTGGGAATGGCATGAAAAACATGGAATATGTCAGCAGGTTTTTAGTAAAATGTAGTTTCCGGGCAATCGTTCGTTATTTGAGTTATGATCGTCTTAAGCCCTTAATTAATCTCCCTACTGCTGGGGCAAATCCTGTGAGGCATAGATTAGGGCCAGGTTTCACCACATGTTTTCACTGTGTTAGTGTATACTAACAACTACAGAAGCAGCTGGGACTAACAGCTCGAGATAATACATACTTGGTCACCTCTCCTGTGACCGATCATTGCGATACTTGCTTAACTTCCACGATCGCAGAACTAAGCGCTGTGGCACCTCTCAATTTGTCTCTTGTCATCGAGAATCGTCTATAAGAGTTATAGCATAATTATATTCGTCTCGTGGTTTTGAATCTTTGATCTACCAACCCTAAGCGCACATATATGAAAACTTCCTTACCTACTGTATAGATTATATTATGAACCTCATTACGCGTCATGGTATTAGTAATGATCCCGTAAGATTAGCGTTTTCAGCCACCTCGTTATCCTAATGCGGGCGAGCGCTATGTATTTACTTAGGCGTCTTCAAAGGAACGCGTGATGTAAAGGAAATTTAGTAACCAAGAAAGTCGTTGCTATTTTTATGAATAAAGTAAATAAACATCTCGGAACTCAAGTAATTTATTTATGTCGATGCTTAAACTTAAGCTTTTTTAAGTTTAAATAAATACGCATATCATCCCTAATGCTTATTTAATTGTTTAAAGATAAATAAAAGAAAATTGAAGTTGAAACTTTAACTTTAGTTAAAGTTAAATTATTCTATAATTTTAACTGGCCTCGCTTGAACAGTTTATTGTCACTGTCAAAATATCGCCTCCTTACCTCATTTTGACTATCTTCAAATGGTGTTACCTATTTTTTACCTTAGCGGTATTTTAACTAAACAGTTAAAATTAAAGTAAGTTGCTGCAGCTTATTCGATAGTTTCGGATAAATTGTTCTATGCGTACATACAAAACAGCTGTTTGTTCAAAAATAAACGCGTAACTAGCGAGTGTTGTCTTACTTAGGTAATAGTGTGGAGATGATCCGCTGCGCTTCCTCGGGCGGCGGCGGCGAGCGTGGTGACGGCGGGTCCGGCGGCGACGGCTCCTCATGCTCCTCCGTGGGACGGAAGCCCAGCGCGAACTTCGCTCTGAAAACATCATCATCATCAGCCTATTAATGTCCCCACTGCTGGAGCACAGGTCTTCCCTATAGATGGAATAGGGATATTGGGCCATAACCCACCACGCGCCCAGTGCGGATTGGTGGACTGCAGATGCAGCCGGGAACAACGGCTTAATGTGCCTTCCGAAGCACGGAGGAGCTGGAGATAGTAAATTTTTGGTTACCCATCCAATGACCGACCACTGCGAAAGTTGCTTAACTACAACGATCGCAGCCGAACGCGCTAACCACGTGCGCCATCGAGCTCCTCATAAAGTATACCATTTCAATTATTGCTTTGATTTGGATGTGAAAGATATTTTCGAGTCCCGTGGCAGTAAACACGTAGGTATACATTGATGCCAATCAGTATGACACCAGACAGTCTCCTGTGCTATTATAATCTCTCTAAGTCCCCGATCTTGACTTCCGCGGGCTTCGAATGATTTTACCATTTGGTTTATCCTCAAAGTGAGCTTATACTTTGCGGTAATTCATAATAAATCAAAACAAAGAGTAGAAAATGATTTAGTACCACATAAGTAATTAGCCCGTGCGCGATATTCACACAAGTGTTTGTTTTTTTATTATGGTACGTTCAGGAAATATTACAATTGGCTATTAACCGGCCTATCCAAACGCAAAACTGGCACCATAAGGACGTCGAGTTGCGGAAACGCACTTTGCAAAGACGAAAAAGAAGCTATCTTCTGCCGTTCATGCTCATATTTCCATCTTCTTCGGAGGTGTATCCCGCGACAGCCGAGAAGTCATCCATGGCCGGCGTGGCTGGCGTGGCGGGCGTGGCAGCGACAGCAGCTCCCCATTCTCGTCGTACTTGCTTAGCACTTGGTTAAGCAGCTCCAGCGATATAAGTATAGCCAGTTATCTACCTTCTGCCGTTCATGCTCATGTATCCATCGTCTTCGGAGGTGTGTCCCGCGAGCGGCGAGTCGTCATCCGTGGCCGGCGTGGCGGGCGTGGCTGGCGTGGCGGGCGTGGCCGGCGTGGCGAGCGTGGCTGACGGCGGCGCACGCGCCTCCAGCGACGGCAGCTCTCCACCCTCGTCGTACTCGCTCAGCACTTGGTCGAGGAGTTCCAGCGATCGCTGCACATCGTCGCACCCTCTGCAAATCAAATATCTCTAAATATATAAAAAAAGAAACTGACTTATTGACTGACTGACATATCAACGCACAGCCCAAACCGCTAGGTCTAGAGACTCCAAATTAGGCACGTAGGTTCCTTATGAGGTCTAGGGGGCACTAAGAAAGGATTTTTCAAAATTCACCCCTGAAGGGGTTAAAATAGAGAATGAAAGTTCTCGCAAAGTTTGTATGAAAAATCTTATTCCTTGAGTCAATACAAATGAAACTTAACGAATATATAAATATAAATAAATAAATATAAATATTTCCAACACTCACACCAATTAGCCTAGCCCCAAAGTAAGCACTGTAAGGCTTGTGTTATGGGATGCTAGGGTAACGGCTAGAATACATATACTGTACATATATAAATATATTTATAATAATAATAATAAATACATATTAAATATCCATGACTGAAGTACAAATGCTCGTATTCATCACACAAACATCTGCCTCCACCGGGATTCGAACCCGGGCCTCTCGAGTCGGCTACACCATGAAACCCGGCGTACAAACCACTCGACCACGGACGTCTGATAAATAACTCGCAGGGGCAAACTCTCAAATTCTCCGAAGTAGACCTACGACAGGACTGCTTCTCCCACGGTCACTTCTATGTGGCATGCTCCCGTGTAAGTTCATCTTAAATTTGGTTTTATTGCTAACTCCTTTAAACATGGCAAAAAATGATGTTTATAAGGAAGTACTTTAACAAGTATAAAGTTGTTAAAGGCTTCATCCGTTTCATTATCACCTTCTACTTTACACCTTCTGTTTAATATTTAAGTATCTTTCAATGACAAATTCACAACAAAGTTTAATTTTAGGTTAGTAGAAACATGATAAGCGTATCAAAAAGTGGTAAAAGTTTGTGCTATGGAATACCAGTTGCGTTATATCTAAAGTGTTTAAAAACTCTACTGAATGATTTACCTACTGCATCGTCAGTTTTTACCTTAGTATTTCTGTCTTTCAAAGGACTTCAACATTTTATAATTGCTATTTGACCTTTATTGTCACTGTAGTGCACAGACTGATACTTTTACTAAGAGCTATTTAAGTCATGCTTTTATCTCATCGGCACAATACCCTCCCGCAAGCATCTTATTCTGTTAAATATTGTTACCCTATTCCTAGTAATCTATGTATGTTCATTAAAGTTTTGTTAGAATACATAACAAACTTATCTAATTACGGGGATACAAGCATAGTATTTTTATTACCTACCTTAAAAAACGTAGATAATTTATTTAAAAAATACATTAAAAATGTCTTTTTTAGGCTCAATTTGAATTTTCCCGTTTAGGCGCGCGGAGGCACTCGATTTACGGAGCGGCGTGTTTTGATATTATTCAGGTTATTTGTGGGTTTGGTTAACTTTGTAATATTTTTATTCAGTTAACGCATTACGGGATAACGTAATTTTATAAACAATTGATATTATTGATAGACAATTTTGTACCTGTGCTTTCTTTCAAAGATTTTCTGGTCATATATTAACACATGATATTGTAGCTCTCAGACCCAAATTCTTATTATATCTTGTTTTCTTGTCAATCTCATGAACGAGCAATGATACGTGCAATCCATTTCATGACCCAACAATTTCCGCACCGCTTTTCTAGTCGGGTTGTCATACTTAAATAAGATGATAACAAGTAGCGCGGCGAGCGAGGCGAGGTCGCGGCACTCAATTCCCCGAGATAATGGTAAATTGAACTCATTTCCTCCACGACCGGCACTCGCTTCGCCTAGAGAACACTTCCCATAGCTGCGCCATTACGACTGAATTAGAAAATAACGATATTGTTATATTATTGGCTAAATTAGACTCGTGTAGTTCTGCACTCTCTAGTTGCGCAGTTACCTATCATTGTTTTATATAGGCACTGCGTTTTTATATAACATTGGTAGAGGAGGTACCTATGTAATCAATCTATCTAAACCATAAGGTTTAGACTATAAAGTTCACACACATATAAAAGCAAATTTAACAATACAACATCCAGAGATTCGTGCGTTTTCTATGTTATTTAGATACAACGTTGACGTCGAGTGAATAGTTGTATGATGTCTAAAGGCGATAACGCATTATTATATGCATTAGGAAACGGATAGGTACCTTTTCACGCATCTCGCCGTACACCCAGCCGTCAACTGGAAGTCTGGAATGGATAAGCATTGTAACACGACTACGTATAGCTAACAACGCGGCGAGTCGACGCCCTACTTATTAGTCTTCTACTGGGGGACAATCATCAGCTGACTTTCAATCAGTTTGTAGCAAATACGTAAGAAGTGGACCGCTTCACGTGAGCGGATGGAAATCTAGACATAAACGGGTGGATGCTGAAGCGGTGAAGTCCCTCAACGGGGATCTCGCGGTTCCGCACTTAACAGCGTAGAGGGTATTCGCAAGGTTTTTTAGTGGATTCTGTGCCGCAAGTGCTCGTAAGCAGCGCGGACTGCTTAACGGCTTTTCCGTTTCGCACCCGTGAGACTTGCGAGACGCTAGGTGTGTGGTCCGTTCGTTGGTGTGCCGCTTAAGGGCGCATACGTCTGTAAATATAGGTTTTGCCTGCGTAATACATAAAGGCGTAAACGGGTGGATGGCCAGACGAAAGCGAGTTGACAGATCGACGACAAAAAAGCTCGCGAGCTGGCTACTCGCCGCTTGTGGTTCGTAACCGGGTACAGAGGCGACGATACCCTGCAGTGTGCAATGCAACATGGAATTTCATCTATCCGTTGTATGGGTTTTAACCTTAATAGGTACAATATATAACTAAAGGTGCGACTCAAAATTGCTTGTTGAATCATTAGAACATGACTCTAGGCTTTATGTTGCTCTAACAAACGCATTTGGTTATAATATTTTGTTCCGATAATTATGCAAGTACATAGTTGAATAATAAAATTTTAAATACACGTATTTTCGCACTTAAAATCTTATGCAACCACTAAACCGAATAAGTATGACAGTCATAAAAGTATAATTAGTTGCGGGGCGTGCTGCAAAAGGAAATTCATTATGTTTAAAGGCAGGTCGTCTTCAACGGCCGAGTGGTTCTAGAGGCTGCCACAAAGCAGCCCTTTTCAAACGAGAGGTGCTAGCGACTCTCGATAAGCACTCGCCGCTAAAGGGCTGAGCGCCATATTTGTTCAACCAACTTGCCAATAAAATATTCTGAAATGTGCAGTTGCTTACAGAAACATTAATACTTTAGGGAGGAGAGCGATCGGATTTTCAATTGTTTTCCTTTTACTAATTTACAAATTCCAAACGTATGATATATTTCTTAAACAATTTGAAAAATATGACAACCTTATTAGAGATAAATCGAAATTGTTATACTGGCCAAATACGTACGAGCAGCGGCCGGCAAAAGTATTATGAAAATCCATAACTGTTGTGGTTGAACGGGCAAAAAACATACTTAAAAAACTCATCCGTCGTGTAATTTAAAAATGAAACGATCTCATTAGTCGAAACATGGCAACCGAGAAGATAACTTATCAAAGGTTTTATTTAAATTTTGAATTGGCTTGCAAAAAATAGAAAGCTGTTTATAAAAAAAAAACATTTCGTTTTTTAAAACACACGTTTTTTAAATAAAAAGTTTTGACTAGGTAGGTAATACTTATTTTTAACTTGACCACAACTAGTCATTGATGGACTTGCGTATGTGAGCCTCGGCACATCTTCGTCCATCCATGTCTCTTTTCTGGGCGCTGCAGTAATGTAATATACCTACCCTATTTATTTATATATCAATAAGCTACGATAATTCTCACTGGTAAAACTGGGGTCCTTCCTTTCTAACAACACGTATTGTTAAGTTAAGCTGAAAGAGCCAATGATTTGAGAGGTGACTGCCTTCCAAGGTTGGTCACGGTGCCGTATCGTATCGAGAGTTCATTAGTGAGCCCACTAATGATCCTGCGATTCACAGATTGGGCTGGATTTCCTCTACCGTTTCCTCAGGAAATATCGATAATAAAAATTGGATGCTGGCGTTCTCATAATAGGATCAATTCAAACAACGTGGACATTATCAAGATTTTGAAAACATTTTATTTTATGTTTTATTTTTAAAAGTTTTCCGTGTTGTCCTCTGTAAAATCTGGTTCGAGATAGATAATGTTTTTATTTAACCTCTGACATTCGGACAAAATTCACGAGTTAGGTTAGGTTAGGCTAAATAACTTATATTTACGGTCGGACACAATGTCTAAACCTTATTTGAAAAGTTAGAAATTGCTTCCCACCTCTCCATCTCCAATACTTGTTTAGATACTTCAGAGAAAAAGGTAGGATTAAAAACACAAACAAAAGCGCAATTATTAATTATCTTTATTAATTATGGTTTCACAACCCAACAGAACTGTAGTTTGGGTACTTGCGATCTTCCGATGACCAGCAATTCTTTCTCGTCATTATCATCCTCATCATAAACCTATAATGCCTCAATGCCATTGGGAAGATTGCTTTACTTCTTCTATCGCAGCCCAAACGCGCTAACAACTGCGCGAACGATTTCCTGGATATAATTATTTACTAAGTTCAAAGTTGATAAACCATTAAAGGTCAAGAAAGTCGATATCTTTGTTTGAAACTTAGACGTGTGGAGAAGACCTGTTGGTTGGTATATTATTATTTTAAAGAAGAGTCTAATGTCAGACATAATTTCATTAAAAAATAAATAATAGGAAAAGGCAAACATTTTTCATTTACTAATTAGATATTCGCACCCTTGTGAAGCTGGGATGGGCTAATTTAAAATAAATATTCCGCTTGGTCCGTAGACCTAAGGTAAAGCAAATTTTAACAGCAAGAAGAAATTCGCAACCATAGCAAACTAAATGGAATTGGGAATTAAACGAACATTTTAGCCGGCCTACTCTTCGAAAGTAAACACTGCTTGTTCAAACAATTCGTATATAGGTAAGTAACTTCCGTAATACCGAATGTTATGAAAGGTAAGTATGTATTTCTTAACTTAAAACCCGGTAACAATATCGTTTCCTCTCGCCTGTAAGACTTGCTGCGTTCGAGTCGGGTGTTTACGAGTTTGTGGATATGTGCGAGTCTGTGTATGTGTTACATCGCATTGTATCGCCAGGCGACTCAAAGCAGAGCACTCAGCATGAGTGCCTGGCGGCGCGAGGCGCGTGCCTGCCTTTGTTTTATTTCACCCATACTCCTTCGCTTTGGAAACTTTTAAGGGGAACTTCAATTGCGTTTCTCTTTTACCATCAGTTGGGTGATTATTAGGTATGGACCAGTCTGGTAAGATTTGTATAAAGTATTAATGAGTTAGATATTAATTAGGACAGAAAAGGCGTTGTTTGTAACAATGTTAGGAAAGTGTGTAATAAATAATTTCAAGCTGGACTGGGAGCAAAAGAAGAATAGAGAAGTGCATCAACTGAACTATTTTAAGCGTGGACAGTAAATCTGTCGATAACAATCTCGCCTACATACGGAAGTACAATTTTTTATACGTCAGAAAACTGTCACCAATATTTTCGGATAGTATCTTGGCGTTGAGATGTGACTATATTTATACAATTGTATTTATCTGACTTATGTTCTCGAATCCATGATACATTACTCACTAGTACCCACAAGTAGTATACCCATACTCCAACTATTATAATTACATTATATTCCATATCAATAATTTTGTACAAACACTGAACAATATTGGAAAGAGTTTTATAAAAATAATTATCGAAATGACAAAGCACTTAGAGACAGGCTTACGATACGTTTGTCAGTTTTCTTACAATAGTTATTCATATATACTCTCGAAAGGAAATATATACTATAACAAACAATGACTGGCAAACTTAGTAAAAAGTCCATTAAAATCACTTGAAAGTAATAATCAAATATCGATGCCTTAATCTTAAAATGAAATCTGCAAGAAACTTTCGCGGTTTCCACCGTTGCTCGCAGGCCTACATCTTGATACAGCGAGGTGGGGTAGGTACTATTTATGCGGAAATGAGTGCTTCGAGGCGGAAGTGTAAAGCACCCCCTACCCCCTCCTCGAAGGCCGTCGACCCCGACGAGCCTATGCTATGCCTAGACATGTTTTCCTAGACCCTTATCAGCATGTGACTCGGAAAAATCACTCGAAAATCAATCATGACTCGATACTTGTAAGCATGTAGCTCACTGAGGCCGCCCTCCGTGTTTCAATACCTACATGTCGCATGTTGCATGAAGTATCTGTTATTGCATAAGCCTTAAAATTATTTGATTTTTGTAGGCGCACTTGAACCAATTTTCTTAAATCATGTTTAAGACATAAAAACCCTATTTGACATTAAGCAATTGACAAAGATGAAAAGATGCCAGAAGGAATAAACCTAATTTGAATTAAGAAAGTTGGTGCAAGTGGCCCTTAGGATGACAGCAAAAACTTGTGTATTGAGAGAGAGAGAGAGAGAGAGAGAGAAAGAGAGATTTTTTATTAACCATTTGTTACGAGTATTACTACAACAATGAAAAAGCACATAAACATTAACATAAAAAACAAAATTAAAAACTGACTTAAAACTATAAAAGTAAATTAATGGTTAATCAGGACCCTGCCTCAGCATGATGTTGTTGCCACACGTTACTATG